GTCAAAAATCTCCCCACCCCCGATCTTCCTCCCAAACTCTGAGCTGTATTTTTCTTTCCCTAACAGCCAGTAAGAAACATTTCCTCATGGCATAGAGACTGAAAAGAAGGTAATGCCAATCTGGTGCCCTGCCCAGTGCTGGGCACAGAGGAGATCACATGAGTTCAACTGGCCAGCCTCCCCACAAGGGACCAACCCAGTTGCGTATTCAGAAGGGACTCCAGTATCCTGCTCACCCAAACTCATTTCCCAGGCCCAGACCTCTGGGAAATCCCTGCTCCAGCACTGCAGAGATTTCTAGGAAAGTCCCAGGACGCCCATCTGCTTCCTCACATTAATTTCAGAGCTAGGATTTTGTTTTCTAAAGGAATTCAACTATGATGCCAACGAAAATCTATAGGAATTGAGGAGTTCCGTATTTAAGTCACATTTTTAAAATGTTTGCTTCTTTGTATATTGAGACCCAGTAAGACCCTAGTAAGCCCAGTTACCCTATCACCTCCAACAACATCAATCAAGTAGAAGACATGCAGATTTTAAAAGCCGTGTGATCCTTGAAAAATCTTTAGACTGTTCTGGGTCCTGGGTGCATCCAGCTGTGAATGGAGGGTTGGACAAGGTGATTGCTTAAATCTCTCTCGGGTCTCTATTTCTCTAATTCCAAATTCCAACAGGCATCCAACGATCGCTATCCACGTCCAAGTTTTAGACTCATAGCCCGAAAAGGGCGAAGCGCAGCGTGGTAGAGGTCGCAAAGGAGACAGGAAGAGAAGCAAGCATGCACTTTTAATGAGACGGCAAAGGAGGCTGGGAGGCACGGTGCTGGGTGTGGACTGCTTAAAAAACTCATTAGACCACAAATTCCAGACACTTAGGTGGGCCCGAGAACGCCCTGAAATTCCCTTCCCAAGTCAGGGCTGATGTTATTTCAAAGAAAAAGAAAACTTAACTTCCAGATCTGTAGAGCTCCAAGGTGAGTTCGCTGTGCAAAAACTACTTCTGTAAGTGCGCCAAGGGGCCGCAGGTACTTGGACTGCACTTGAGGAAGTGTCCAGAGTTGGCGGAAACAACTCATCCACTCGGGCTCCGGGCGCTCGCTGGTTTGCAGCAACCAAGCTGAGACAGACACACAGATGCGGGGACCCAGGCCAGGGCTCAAGGAGCGCTGACCGAGACTTGCCCGGCTCTCGGGCCCCAGGTGGGAGGGAGGCGAGGCTGAGGCGGGGGGCGCACGGGCTGGATGTGCACTCGCCGGTCCCCCTCCAACCCGACCCGGGGAGCACGGGCCCCGACCCGGGGACGACTGAGATGGATTGTCCCTAGAGTTTAAGACTGTCCCTAGAGTCGAGGGTGGAGGGGTGAGTGCTGGCGCCAGCACAGAGCAAGACTCCCAGCAAGGAAAAGAACCAGAGAAGGAGGCGCAGCCGTCCGCACCGACCAGGCGTGCGCC